ATTATGTTTGAAATTATGAACATTGCTCAACATCATGAAAATTAAACCTTATTTTCAATAAGCAATCCTGAAAAATATTTGGGGGTGCTTAACTTTTTTCCAGGTGTATATATGCAAATCAAGGTATTTAATACTAAAACTTATTAAATCCAATTACCTGACCAAGTTTTTCCTTCAACTCACTTAGCTTCTCTCCCACTGTAGCTTGCTGCATGTTAGAGAAATCAAGTTGATCTTTCAACTCCTGAAATAAGGACACATTTTCTAGTCTTACCTTGTGCTTTGTATCCCATGCTAAAAAAATTTATCAGTATAATACAATTTGTACCTTTTATAAAAAGTCAACACTGTTAAATATTTTTAGGAGGCACAAATATATTTGAACCTATTATTTTAAAAGGATGCTTACATGAAAATTTTCAGATTTTAGCATTCAACAGCAAAATATTTCAAACCCAACATCCTATCAAATGAATGAAACTTTTTTGAGAAAAGTCATATAGAGATTTTATTCAAAAGACAAGATAATGCTGGTTTTACCACATAGTTGAGAAGAACCATTAATACCTTTCCTTATCTACACATAGTATATTATTACTTTAAGATATAAACACCCAAAATTCAGTTAATATTGACATAACCATTAAGTGTTAAATATCATCCAATTAAATATTTATAGTGGCATATAGTAAATGTTGAAAACTGCTCAATTAAAGTGAATATTAGTATTTGAAACATAACTTTATTACTGTATAAAAATTGTGGTCGGTATGTAACAAGCACAAATATATACCACTGGTTTACTGCATTAATCCCCTGAAGTACCATATCTTCAATTAAAATAAACTACAGAGTATCATTTTCACTTCACACATCACATTATCTCAGTAATAACCATTCTATGCACTGTATCTTTTCTTTAGTAAACTACCACATTTTGCATTTGTGTTATGGTAAAAAGTAAACACAAAATTAATTTGCTAGATATTGAATAAGATCCCCCTGACAGTTACTTTTGGATTAACTAGGTTATAAATTTTACAAAAATATATCATAGGATTACACTCTATGTCAAGGTTTAAGTAATCTAGCATGGGTTAATTCTTACTAGTTGCAAAATGGACCTCAAACCAACATATAATGATGTTCTTTGAAAGAAATGAATTTATTAGCATGTATGACAATTGTAAGATGTTGCTGAAATAGACAACCTGCCTGGTGGACTAGTGACTAGACAATATTATTATTTACTACCAAATATCTTCAGAACACCAGGTAAAAATACACACAAGTGGATTGAACCGTATGTTGCAACAAGTTCATTAGATGGACTGTCCATAACTTGTCTGATGACTAGACAATATTATTATTTACTACCAAATATCTTCAGAACACCAGGTAAAAATACACACAAGTGGAGTGAATTACCACCTTGTCACCAGTTCATTAGACAAGCTGTCCATAACAAAAATAATATTCAACAGTTCTACATAATGAAGTAGATAAATTGCCTGGTGGACTAGTGACTAAACTACATTTTGATCTGCTGCCATGTATCTTCACTAAACTTCATAAAAATATGCAAAAAAAGGACCGAATCATTAGATAGGATGTTCATAAGAAAAAACAATTCAACACTTCTAAAAGTTCAAATGGTCAATATTCCTGGTGGACTGGCGACTAGACAGCATTTCTACTTGCTACTACATATATTCACTACTCCTGATCAAAATACACTCAAGTGAAGTAAATCATCATCTTGACACTAGTTCACTGGAGACAATGTTCATAATAAATACAATTGCCAAAAGTGCTACATATTCAAATGGCCAACTTGCCTCAAGGATTGATGAGTAGAAACGTTTTTATCTGCTATCATTTATGTTCACTACCCTAGATAATAAAATACACAAGTGGAAAAAATCGTCATCTTGTCACCAGTTCATTAGAAAGGCTAATCATAACAAAAACAACTTTCAACAGTGCTGCATGTTGAACTGGAAAACCTACCATGGTGCACTGATGACTAGGCAACATTCCTATCTGCTACCATGTATCTTCACTACACTTGATGTTACTACACATAAGTGGAGTGAATCCCCATCTTGTTACCAGTTCATTAGACAGGATGTCAATAAAAAAGCAGCTTTCAACAGTGCTACATGTTGAAATGGACAACTACCATGGTGCACTAGTGACAAGGCAACATTCCTATCTGCTACCATGTATCTTCACTACACTTGATGTTAATACACATGAGTGGTGTGAATCCCCATCTTGTTACCAGTTCATTAGACAGGATGGCAATAAAAAAGCAGCTTTCAACAGTGCTACATGTTAAAATGGACAACTTGCCTGGTAGACAGGTGACTGTAAAACATTTTTATATTCTACCATGTATCTTCACTACACTTGATGTTAATACACATAAGTGGAGTGAATCCTCATCTTGTCACCAGTTCATTAGACAGGATGTCCATAACAAAAATAACTTTCAACAGTTCAGCATGTTAAAATGGTGAACTTGCCTGGTGGACTGGTGACTAGACAACATTTTTATCTCCTAACATGTGTCTCATAAAAATACAAGTAAGTGGAATGAAATACCATCTTGTCACCAGTTCATTAGACAGGATGTCCATTACAATCAAATTTTCAAAAAAAATATAGTGTCTTTCTTTACTTAACAATTTAAACAACTATTATATGCACATAAATACTGGTGTAAAAGAACTGTTTTATAGTGAAATTATAGCTTGACAGTTGAGAAATTTGTTACACTCATCTTCACTATGGCTGAAGAAAGCCATTCTTCTTCTTCTGTCGAGTATGTAGCTAGTAGAATCTAAAAAATTCTAAAAGCTAAATTAACTCTCTCAACACGGGCTCAGTCAATTTGACCAACCACATGACCTCTTTGTACTTGTTCCAAGTCTTTATAGATTTGATACTATTAACTTTTAATAGTGTGTATATCTTCAAGAAATTAGGAAATCTTTCAGTAAACACTTTCATGTACAAAAAATATTTCTAGTGAAGTTTCTTTAATAAATTAAAAAAAAGATTTGTTCGTGAATATATTGAATATTTGTTTTAAATAGTCTGTGTGCAAAGTAATTTTCATGTTAAGATTAAAAATACTTTCCTTCATCTCAAAAATTACAAATGTCATTTTTGTAATTTCTAAAACCTCCTAAATACATTTCAAATGTTTGTTTTCAGTAAAACTTTATATTTTATCTGTTATCTTCTCTACCGTAACTGTACACAAGGTTGGTCAATTTGACTGACCTTGTACCACCAAAAAAAAGATCAACATAAATCTAAATTACCCTCCTTTTCTTTCTAGAATGATTTCAAATGTAACATGAAAATACATTCATTTATCCTAAGTAGCTTTAAACTTGTAACACTATACATCTATTTATAATTAAATTTTATTGTTTTATCACCCTGTGGACTGTGTCTAATTTACTATTTGTGCCATTAGAAGTTGGAAGTCAATTGGGGAACATGCAGCTCACATTATGCTATTGAATTACATTACCCACAAGCTACTCCAAGCTGCTCGCGTGCGTGCCTCATGAAATATTTTTATTATATTATTGTTTATTTTACCTAATCTAACCTTAACTAACCTAAAGACATCCCTATTTTTACATTTTAATTACTTTTATAATAATAAATAAATAATAAACATGAAAAACAAGAAATAAAGTTCTTACCCAAGTATAATTTTTTTTTTGCTGTCTACTATCTATGATACTTAACTCTACTTTTTTTTATACTAATGGTTGAAGTGCATTAACCCTTTCATGACAGGCTCAGTATAAAATACCTGAGTTAATATATACATCTGCACACGTTAAGTATATATATATTATACCTTTTAATGCAGTAGGTGTATCTTCACAAAATTTAGTACTTTTAGTAATAATCACAAGTCTCTTGTACACAAAAAATCAGATGAAGTATTTTTACTAAAGATCTGTTTGTAAAAATATCAAGTCTGTTTCGTTACTAGTCCGAGTGCAAAGTGATTAACAAATCAAATAATGTATACTACAAAAATTTTAATAATAATCTAGTTTGACACCAAACTTATTGACATAAATTTATAAAATAGTAGTTCAATAAAAGTTTGAATACAAGTAAAAAAAACATGATGACATGACCTTTGACCAATGGAGATAGGGTTAAATAATTTGTATTTAATTAAATAATGCACCAAAGAACATAGAATAATAACTTGGAAAAATCAGACAATTTCCACTAACTATCACAATTTTTCTGGCTTTCTAACTGTGCAAAAATAGCTGTTACAAATTCATCCAAGCTAGTCATTACCTCTCCCATGGGAACTGAAGCCTGTACTAAAAGTGAAATTGATGATTATCTGTTCAGAACACAAAATAATATAATACATAATTTCATAGATGAAACCCTTGGCTTTCTTTTGGTTATAGGTAATATATAATTAAATGTAAAAGAGAACTATTAACAAATCCTGAAAGAGAAGATGTGACAGGCGAGTGTAGCAGGATGGTTATGATTTTCTATTTGATAGCTCTGTAACCAAACAAAATTGAAAGCTATAAAAATTATGGTTTGTCTGAGCAACAACAATTTTATAGTGAGTAATTTATGTTTAATTTCGTAGGTACTGGAGGGGTGGTGGATAAAATAGAGAAGAGAAGATACTTAGAGAAAATATGTCACAAGTGTCACACATGGAGAAATTCAGGATTTTTTTAAATATTGCCTTATAGAATTATAAAGTTTAATGTTATATACTATTAAAATATGAATTATTAGCTGAGATTTTATGCTATACTAACTGGTATAACATAAACAAAAAGTAGTTGAATAAAATGTTAAATGTAAGACACTAAAACCTTGTGTCATGTGCAGTAAAGGATACCTGTGGTAATAGGGTTAAATAGACTTGTGTAAGAAATCTCTCGTGTCCAAATGAGGTTTCCTTAAAAAGTTGTTTCCGTAACAGAAAAAATGTTAGTGATTTTTGATTAAGGTACTATGCAGGGTTTATCTTTTAATTGTCTTTATTACACAAACAGTGTTTTCCCCCAAAAAAGCAATGATGATTAATAAATTAACATTAAAGAAACCACTAACTGAAATAGAGTGTCATACAAACAAAAATCATGATTCCAAGTCAAGTCAATTCCAGCACATAAGTTGCTTTAAATTAATGCAAGAAAGACTTATTTGGTAGATTTTTGTTTCAACTAATATTCAGAATTATTAAAAACAAATAAGGAAATACATATTCTCTCAGAAATTGTGTTTTACAGCCTACCAACAACAAATCTCTTTCATTTTTCAATTTGTACATTTCTTTGTGATACAAGCTAATGTCATTTTCCAGTTTGGCACATTTATCTTCAAGCCACCTTGCATGCTGTTCTTTCTTCAGAAAATGGTCTCTGCTGATCTCTGCTTCTAGAACAACTTGGTTATGTTTTTCCTTCCATCTGTTAAAGAAAGCAAAGTTATATTTACATAGTTCCAGGGACAAATTAGTAACTTATAATTTAATCATTACCTCTCTCAACACGGGGTTGGTCAATTTGACCAACTACGTGACCTCTTTGTACTTGTTTAAAGTATTTATAGACTTAATACTTCTAACTTTCAATATAGTATGCATAACTTCACAAAACTTGGCAGTCTTTCATGGTAAGTCTTTGACATAGAAAAAATGATATTTTGTAGTGAAGTATTTTTAATAAACTAAAATAAAGATTTGTCCATGAACATAATGAGTATTTGCTTTGAATAGTCTGTGTGCAAAGTAATTTTTATGTTAAGATTAAAAACACTTTTTCTCATCTCAAAAATCTCAAATTTCCTTTCTATAATCCCTAAAACCTCCTAAATACATTTCAAACGTTTTTTTTTTCAGTAAAACTTTAGATTTCATCTGTTATTTTCTCTACCCTAACTCAAAAAGGGATCAGTCAAATTGATCGACCTCGTAACTACCAAAAAAAAAAATTGAAGCAAGTCTAAATTACCATTTTTTCTTTCTAGAATGACTTCAAATTTATCCTAAGTAGTTTTAAGTTCATAAGAGTATACATCTATTTATAATTAAATTTTATTGTTTTATCGCCATTTTGAATGAAGCCTGTACAAAAAGTGAAATTGACGATTATCTGTTCAGAACACAACGTTATACAATATCTCATTTCATAGATGAAAACCTTGCCTTTATTTTGGTTATAGGTAATATACAATTAAATGTAAAAATCCTGAATGAGAGGATGTGACAGGTGGGTGCAGGAGGGGTCTGATTTTCTACTTCATAGCTCTGAAACCAAACAAAATTGAAGGCTATAAAAATTATGGTTTGTTTGAGCAGTGACGATTCTATATGGAGTAATTTATGTTTAATTTCGTACCTTTTCAAGGGGTGGTGGATAAAATAGAGAAGACATGATGTCTAAAGAAAATATGTCAAGAGTGTCAAACTAGGGGAAATTTAGGATTTTTTTAAATATTGCCTTGAAGAATTAAGAACCTAAAACTTGTATACTATTAAAATATAGATTATTAGCTAAGAATTTATGCTATACTAATTGGTATAACATAAACGAAAAGTAGTTTAATAAAATTTTGAATGTAAGACTCTGAAACTTTCTGTCATGCACAGTAAAGGATGCCCGGGGGAAAGGATTAATACATGAATTGCTTTCTGCCTCAATATCAAAAGAGTGATACAAGAAAATAATCTTCAAATGTTAGAACAAACACTAAAGGATAATACATATCTCAGTAACCAGAATTTGGGCTTATGAGCAGACATGGTACATCGAAAGTACAGAAAACACATATTTTTTGCTACTCTCACTCATTGGTGTAACCTACAGACTTATTTGTGAATGAGTATTGAACAACAAATTCCTGATGCCATGTAGCTATTTTTGTTACCTGGTAAAATCAGTGTATTTTTATTACCAACCTCTTAATAATAATTTGAGCTTTCTTCTTTATATTGCTAAGTTTCTTTTCTGCCTCTAGTACAGCCTTTTCTTTCTCTGCCAGCATTTTCTTTAACTTCTGAAACTGGATGTTAGAAGGTGATTTGGACATAGAGTTCTGAACAGATAAAGTAGTAAACTTCTCTCCAACATATTGTAGATATGGTCCTAGATGGATGGCAAAGTCTGGACACCTAATATTTCCTGACCTTCTATCTGTTTGCTGTAGATAATGAAAATATTATAAAATCCAACAGTTGTATAGAAAGAAATCAAACAATCTTTATTCTGAGTACAATCAAGGTCAAAAGAATAAATAAAATCTACAGTTTAAGATTTTCCTGTGTGTAATATATATGTATATAACACACACATGTATATGAAAGTATTAGACTGGCTCAGGGAGACAGAAAAATAACACTGTCAAAATATGAGCAATTACTTTGAGCATCAAATGGGTAATATATATTACACACATATAAAAATATAAAAGAAAGTACCTTTAAAGAGAAATATAAATTTCTCTTATTTTCTATGTTTCAATAAGTAGAAATTTCATGAAGTTATTCTAATATTTTTATTCTAAGAACCAAACAAGTAAAAATAACAACTTACTAAAAAAGTAAAAATATGTATTAAAATCAAATTGTTCAAGGCATAGCCTATAAAAGCAAGAACCTGTTAAAAATTATTCCAAGAACAGCCTGAAATGAGTATGGTTTAGAGACAAACAATGTGAAAGGTAACCACACACAACAGAGTGAGAGAAAAATGTTCTCAGCATCTAGGTTCATTGTAAAAAGAGTTTAGTTGAAACAGTTTGAGTAGAATGTAAAATTCAGTTAATATATTTTTTTTTATATTCCTTATAAAATGAAATTAACACGTTGCAATTTTTTCAAATGGATTTGTAGTTAGAATTTTTGAGTACGGCTAAATTAAAGCTATATGTCCATAGCCATCCCCAATTAAAAACTGATAGATTATGGAAGAGGCAACTAGTAAATAGTACCAATTATCAATTCTTGCATTACTGTTATCTGATCAGCTAATGGGATTTAACCAGCACTATTATAGTGTAGCTTCAGTCCCAAAGTGTTGAGCTCGCATTCAATGCAATAGGAAGTAAGCCATTAATCAAAAGTTAATTCTATCTACTAGGTCAAGCTCAGCCCAAAGCAAATGTTTGGTTTAGTTTGGACCTTTTGGCACAAAGCCATATATGCTACTTGCAGCAAAAATCTTGTTTACTTTTAAAAGCAACTACAATAAAAGTTTAAAAAAGATATATTGTTACGACAGAGGAAGTCACGTGATGCTGGTAGCGTGTGTGAAGTTTCTTGAATGATCGGGGAGGTCCGAGAATTTTGGAGACGCTTCTTTGTTAGTATATAAGCCTGGCAGAGAAAAGCCAGGGGATGGTTAAGCGAACAATATTCACAGAGAGTTTCGGGTAATTTACAATTCTGTTTCGAACTAGTGTGTGTTTTGCATTTGTAGAGAGCGAAGTTACCGAGAGTGTGAATTGCTGTGATTTATAGCTTGTATTATAAAAGTTG